GAACTTGACTCCAATAAAAACGTTCAACCTCACACAGACATGGAAATTAAACAACCTTATGCTGAATGACAGTTGGGTGCAGGAAGAAGTACAAGAAGAAACCATTAACTTCCTTGACCATAACAACAATGAAGACACAAGCTATGAAACCTGTGGGATACAGCAAAAGCAGTCCTGAGAAGAAAATGTATTGCTTTAGGTGCCTACATTCAAAAAACAGAAAGAGAGGCATCAGCAAACTCACAAGCCATCTTATGGAATTGGAAAAAGAAGAAAAATGTAAGCCTAAACCCAGCAGAAGAAAATAAATATCCAAAATTAAATCATAGATTAATAAAATTGAAAATAAAAGAATAATTCAGAAAATGAATGAAACAAGGAGTTGCTTTTTGAAAAAAAATAACTAAAATAGTTAAATCTTTGGCCAGACTAACTAGAAATAGAAAAGTAAAATTTCTTGTAACCTCAATCAGAAATGATAAAGGGAAAATAACAACAGATGCCACAGAGATACAAGAGATTATCTCTGAATACTATAAGAAACTCTATGCCAAAAAACAAAAACAAACAAACAAAAAAACCTCTATGCCCAGAAATTTGACAATGTTAAGGAAATGAACCAATATTTGGAATCACACCATCCCCATAGACTTATCCAGGAAGAAATAGAATACCTGAACATACCAATTTCAACCACTGAGATCAAAGTAACAATAAAAACTCTCCCAACCAAAAAATGCCCTAGTCCAGATGGCTTCACACCAGTATTTTATCAAACCTTCAAAGAAGAACTTATTCCTGTACTACAGAAATTATTCTAAAAATTTGAGGAGGAAGGACTCTTCCCAAACATGTTTTATAAAGCAAACATTACCCTGATGCCAAAAGCAGGAAAAGATCCAACTAAAAAGGAGAACTTCAGACCAATTTCACTAATGAATATAGTTGCAAAAATTCTCAATGAAATCCTAGCTAACGGACTACAGCTTCTCATCAAAAAGTCATACATCATGATCAAGTAGGTTTCATCCCAGGGTTGCAAGGCTGGTTTAATATACATAAGTCCATAAACGTTATTCACCATATCAACAGAAGCCCCCC